AATTATTAGCATTGTAGCTACTAGAATTCATGTAAAAAGGATTCTGCTTATGCTTTGTGTGTGCTGCTAGAATCTGAACCCAGGACCTCAAACATGCAAGGCAAGCACTCTACCACTAAGCTACATCCCCAGCTCTGCTTATACCTTTATCTTGATACAAGTATCTTAATATTTCTGAAAATTACATTAACATTTTAACTCACTGAAAAGCTATCAATCAATGTCATACTTACCAGTTGCTTAAACAGCTGACCAAAGATATAACCCACATGAGTGTATTTATGCAGTTTAAAAAGTGAATATCCCAACTTCCGACTGTGAAAGTATGGCAGACCCAAAGGTATGCCTTGCAGATCCCCTTGCGAGAGAGGACTTTCTGCCAGCTGTGAGGACTGTACCTATTCGACTGCTTCCAGCTGTTGACTTCAGCTTTCCGAACAAAGTCACACTCTCAGCTGGTACCCAGTCACTGCCGGTTAAGCAAGACAAAGAAGTCAGGGGCACATTCTTGTTGGATGACCCTCAACAAATGACTAGATAAGGTGGCTGTATAAACCTCTAATTATTTCTATCAAGAGCAGAACTCCTATAAGAAGCAATCCTTCCTCCATTTCATAGCTCTGGGGAGCTAACAGAGACCTTCACAGCTGCATCAAAATCTGAGACAGCTCGTCCATCCAATCCTGCTTCCTCTCTTTTCCTTTCTTAGGAATTTCTAATACACCTTTTGAACATTTAACTCCAATTTAGAAAGTGGAACCCAGGAATTAGGAAGACCTAAGGCATCTTAACTACTGAGCTCTAGTCCTTGAAGGTAAATGAGAAAGAATATTCTTAGTTTGGGAAAATCTTAAAGATGGAGCATATTGTTTGTGGTTAGTGGATCATCAAACTGTACTGCATTTATTTATTCCTTTGCGCACATACAGCTTCACTAGCTATCCTAGAGACACATTTTCTTCTGCATTCTGGCACTTCATGGGTCATCTGATTCTTTTCCAGTCATGAGCACCATCCTATATAACCTTGTCTGTTTCCTGGAGGAGCAAGGAATGGTCAAATGAGCAACAGAGAAAGCTATTCTTAAAATGTGTTATGAACTCAGCTTAGTTTAATGTGTCAAATGCTAGAGTATTACATACAATTTTAGCAGAGTCCATTTTTTGGAAGACTCTTGCTGAGGCTTAGCCTTCTTTAGTGATCTCCCAATCAATATGACCCTCACTTCATGTTCAAGAAATACTAAAGAAGAAAAGAAAAGGCAGCTGTCTGTTAGGTTATACAGGATTTATTTGGTATCTTCAAAAACCAATCTGAGAAAATTTTCCACTCACTGATTTTAGCTGAGCCACCAAGAAAACAAGAAAATCCTTCTGCAAAATTTTCAATAAGATGATATTATCTAAAGACCTGAAGCGTGAAACCTGGATTACAACAGCTGACCGAAAAAATAGAATGTAATGTCTACAAAACTAAATAAAAACATTAAAAGTATAATGATATAAAATTTATTTAAAAACTAGAAAGGTATTTTTGTAACTTGATAATGGATTAATGATGATATACATAATGCAAAAGATAAGTCTAAACTATCTCAACTATTAAAAGTAAAAATACTCTATCAGTATGCACAGTTAGTGTGTTACTTTAAAAATTTTAGAGCAAAAACACTCTCTTTTTAGTTGTCTTAAGATTATAGTTTGTAGATTTTTTTTGTCTCCATTTTATGTTTTATGTCCAAGAATGATTCTTTCAGTTCTTATTTTACTACAGAATTGAATTTTTAAAGCAAATCATGGATTCAAAGTTCTACAAGTCTGTAACTGAAAAATTTCCCAATTATATGTAAATTTTGATACAGTAATGAGTTGAATACAAATAATTAAATGTGATTCATGAAATTACATCATCACTGTACTGCAAAAGCCAAAAGACAGTGTTTTTTATCTATTCTAGATATTTAAATTCATTGAGGTAGAGAGCACACCTTGTCACAGATTATTCCCCCTTCACAACAGGACCTAGTTACTCCTCCTATCAAGAAGTAGAATTCATCCACCTACTCAGTGAATCTATGTCTGTTCCTGACTACCTCTGGCCAATGAAATGGCAACAAACGGCTTGGTCTTCTGCAAGTATTAGAACTCCAAAATCATATACGAATAAGCACCTGAGAAATCACACAAAGGCGAAGGTAGTCTTCCCAGTTGAGGCCACTATGAACTAGTCAGCCCCACCCAACCAAAGATATACAAGTGAACTTATGCATGACACGCTGATCCTGACTTGCAAATAAAGGATGCAGCTGAGCCCAGCTTAAACTGTCATCCTGCAGAATAACAGGCTAAATAGATGATGGCTGTTTTATTTTTAAAACCCTAAGTTCAAGGTGATACCTGGCTGTGCAGTAGATACTTTATATACTCATCTACAGTTTTTTTTTAATATTTATGGACTATCTGTGGGAAAAACGGATCATCTCTGTTGGCACTTGTTCAGTGATAGTTATTCTACAGGTTGGCCTTTTCTCCTGACTATGCGCTAAGATTAGCCGAAAGGACGTGTAACACAGAACAGCAATGAACATGTAACCTTAACAATCTATATGAAATTTAAGACTGAAGCTGGAAAACTATATTCCTTAACTGTCCCAGAGAAAATGATTTTAGGATTCCTTAAGGCCTGCATATTAATGATTGTAACGAAATGATTTGGATATTTTTATTTTTTGTCGTTGTTGCTGTTGTTTTTTGTTGGGTTTTGTTTGTTTGTTTGTTTGTACAGGAGATTGAACTTGGGACCTTGCGCTTGTGAGGCAGGCGGCAGAACCACTGAGCTAAATCTTTGGCCCAATTTGGATATTTTTAATCTAGCAACTTACTAAACTTAAATATGTTACCAAAAAAATCTTTAGCAATCCAAAATCTTATCTTTGCAGAAATGTTTAGTGTACCACAGAAATGACCACTTAAATAAATAAATGGAGTGTCACAACGGACATAGCAAACTAAATATTATCAAATAAGCTTGAAGATTATCGTACTATGTTTAACATGCTGTGATTTGTTTGGCTGCACAACAGGCTACTAATATATAATATCACATGAGAGATCATATGATATGCATTATATATGATAGGAGATAAATCTTTTCAAGAAAAAGTTGAGAAACAGAGTGATTAATTACTTTGTTGGCTTTTGTCCCTGGTTCCTACAAGGGAGCCTCTAACTCAGTGATGGAGAACTGTTTAGAGACAAGAGTGCCAAACTGCAACCCAAAACCCATTTACTGCAAAGTACCAACACTGCAATTAAACCAGAATACATAGGGTTTACACAAAACAACTTATATATTAATATATTTTGTCTAAAAAGAAAAGCACACCAAACATGAGTGCCATAGATTCGCCACTACTGCTCTAACCCCTGGAACTTCCTAAGTGATAGTGTCTTCATTATTCATTGTGGATCCCTCCCTCGGACCACACCCAAGTTTATACTAACAGATGACTCACTGTGGGCACCTAGGTAATTTGAGAAGGAGAGCTGGCCAAGCTGGAAAGATGAACTATGGGATTGGAGGGTTTGGGCTTTGTGGTACGGTCACAGGATAACAGACTGAGCTCCCAACCTCCCAGGTCTAGGATGACAGAGGAGGGATTTAAGAATGAGTTCAAATTCTATAGCCAGGGGTTCACACAACCATGCCTACACCTAGAGGCCCCAGTACAAACTCTGGACCCCCAAGAGGCAACTGACTGATGTAAAGAGAGGGCAAAGAACCCTAGAGACATGGAGGCTTTTGTGCAAGACCCTCCTAGAACTCAACTTACTCATCTCTTTATCTAGCTGGCCCTGATAAGTGTCCTTTATAATGTAAGTGTAATCATAAGTACAGTGCTTTCCTGAGTTCAGTGAGTTATTCCAGTGAATCATCAAATGTGAGAGGCAGGGGGAACTTGTCACTAGCTAGTCACAAGTGTGAGTGGCCCAGGAACCCAAATTATGGCTAGAGTGAAGGGAGTCTATGGTGGAGGACTACGCCCTCTATCTGAGGAATCTGATCCAACTAAGCAAAGAGTTAGAACTGCACAGCACATCACAAAAGCACCATGCCAAAGACAAAAGAGAGAGAAAACAAAGCCAGCAGAGAGCAGAAGTACTAGTCAGAATTATGAAAAGTCACAACAGCTATCACTCCCCAGAGTCAAAAAAGAAACAAAAAAAAGGTGGCAAAGGCAATGGAGAAAACTCACTCAACAACTGCTGGCTACATGTAAGACACTGTGCTAGGCACTAATATAGTGGTAAACAAGGATCACAGCCCTCACTCATGAAGGTTACATTCAACAAGGGAAGAGGAATCTTAAACATTTTGGCATCACTTATGTTGTAGCTGAACAAGAGTATAATGACAGATCTATACTGTAGATTAGTAACAAGTAATAGTAACATCCCTAAGACCTTTTCATTTCCACCTCTATCTGCAAATGTATTAAAGTTAATAGTATACACATTACCAAAGTAGTACAGAATTATGTAAATTTTAAAGGGGTTTCATCAGTAACAAAAAAAAAAAAACACTTAATTTTACCCACTGTAGCACATCTTTAGTACACAGTTTAAACATTTACCATATTCATTTCCCAAATTCAAGTTCACTCTAATACACAATTACAACTCCCACCCAAATTTTAAAGTAGTTTGCTTCTTCCAAACTAATAATACTCTTTCTAACTTGTAAAACAAATATTATACACAAATCTCTAGATGTGACATGCTAGGCAAGCAAAAAGTTTTTTAGATACGTTTCATCAAGTTGCAGAGGTCAAATTCAGTTTCTACTAAAGGTTACATCTTTTAAAATTGGTTGAGTTTCTCCAATTACTATGATCAGATTTTAAATTTTTAGAAACAATGGGTTCTGAAGTTGTTTTGAATATAAAATTCCCTAAAAACTCTTTCTAAACAGTCATGAGTTAGACAACTAGTGTCTCTTACCTGTAGCCATCTAGCTGTACCAGAAACCGCACAATATCATGGTGTGCTTTCAGCACAAGCAGTTCTGTGTAAGGGTTCCGGGACTGCTCTTCACCTATTGTCTGTAATGGAGATTTCTTGTAATGGAGCAGGGGACAAGAGAGACAGGGATAACATGATATACAACTACATATTTAAGAATACAAGATTTCAAAAGCCACAAGACTTGTATGTTCTAGTACCAGGTATCAGTTCCCCTAATATTAATTGAATAATTGCCAATTCTATATAAAACATTTATCTTACCGTGAATTCACAAATTTTAGTACTTTCAAGTCACAATAAATTTACAAAAAGATTGATTTTATTTTATATAGATTTAATCTCCATAAATCTGACCTTAAAATTAATGGGCCAACCCAACTCAGTTATTTTTTTTTTTTTTATTGAGTTTATTGGTACATTTAGGGATACAGTACAGTTACATTCATTGTTGGGATCATGTACCTTTACATGGCAAGTCTTGATTCTCATTTTTTTCCCCTTACCTCTGCCCTCCCTTCACCCCCTCCTCCCCTCCCCATCTACAAACACTTTATTTTCATCTTTTCATTCTCTCACATTTTTTTCTTTTCCCTTTTTGTTCTTCCCCTACGTATCACACCTTCCCTACACCTTTAGCTCCTTTCCTCCCATTTCTAAATGTCAGTAATCTTATTAGAATCTTATGCATTGTTGCAGAATATTCACACCAGGGAAACTATTTGGTATTTACACATGTGGGACTTATTTATTTCACTTAGGAGTATAT